AAAATCCACGATTTTGATTGGTTATCACCTCTTCGGAGATTTTCGTAATTTGTGTAACTAGAACGGTCGCTCCTGGAATAGAATAAAGCTTAAAAAATAATGTCAAAGATTTTTTGTTATAAAGAAAGTCATGCTAATTTTATTGTGCAGAACTTAATTATCGTTTGCACTGCATATAGTACCCAGGGTCTTGTTCAAAACTTTCGGTTTAAAATTAATTAGTACACAGGGTATTATGAAAATCTTGTCTCCTAACTAATATTATCGTGCAAACTCTTATGAGCATAGATTTTTTTCTTGTTATTTTTTGTACGTTATTAAGCACAACAATCTCGAATTAAAACTCAGTTATCTAAAATACACTTTATATAGCTTTACTGTTCAAACTATAAAGAAAATGTATTAATTGATTACGTGTAGAGATGCGATCCAATATCTGCTAGTTTAATTTTATAAGTTATTATTAAGAATCCAGATATCTGATACATTTTAAATAGAAAAGCGAATAATGGATCGCATCTCTAATTACGTATAAATAATTTGTCCACGAAATATAGACCAACAGCGAATCTCAGGATATAAAATGATATTCAAAGTAGGATACCCTATTAACTTTTCAGAAACTACATGTTTCATGTGCTTATCTTGACTAATTAACACTGGAATTGTGTATCTACCAATTGGAGATACTTGTGATAAATAATATCGAAATCTTTTTTGACTTTCAATTGTTGAATTCATCTTGAAAAATTGATGAATATCTGACTCACAGAATCTTCGAACTTTAAAAATAGAGCTTTCGTGTGATAATGGTATGTTTTTATCTAAACCAATGAAAAATCTTTTGTCCCATAAAATAACATCACCTGGATTAATTTGTTGTATAATTGCACTATCATGAGATGTTTTAAACGGTTGCCGAAAAATCGTCCAAAGTTGAGAACCCATATATATAAAAGGAATAATTTTTCCAGGATTTAATAGCAACCCATGGATAGTGATGTTAGACAGTTTATGTAATGTGTATGATGCCATTATGT